AAGCCCTCTGTGTAAAGACTTCTTTGTGTAACAGCTTCTGTGTGTAAAGGCTCCTAGACGTTTGTGTGCAAAAGCTCCGTAGAGTAAAGACTTCTCTGTGTAAAACCTTCTGTGTGTAAAAAGCTCCTTTGTGTAAAGACTTCTCTGTGTAAAAGTCCCTGTATGTGTAAAAGCTTCTGTGCGACTCCTCCATCCAGCTTTCTTTCGGGTCACGCTGTCGTGCAGTTTCAATCTGCAACAGTGTTTCTTGTGGAAGATTGAAAGAACAGGTGAAAGCATCGCAGGTTAAAAAAATTAACATAAACAGCGCACAAAGTGCTGTAATTTACAGCATTTTGCGCTGTCAGATGGCAAGAACCCGCGTAAATACCACAGTTTTAGTCCCCGAAAGTGGCTAAAACACTGTTATTTACAGGGTCTCGTTCACGTCACGATCTTCGATTTTTTGAAAAACGCGTAAATACCAGCGTTTTTTGCGTTCATCAAGGAAAAAAATCGGTTCAGAAAGGGAAGAAAAAGCTGTAATTTACAGGGGTTTGGCGCCGCCACGGGCAAAAAACTGCGTAAATACCAGCGTTTCGGCGTCCAAAAGTGGCCAAAACACCGCTATTTACAGTGTTTCGTGCCTTCCACGTTTTCTTGAAATTGCAAAAACCATGTAAATACCAGCAGTTTTTGCGATCAACCCGCCAAAAATGCTGTAATTTACAGTGTTTTTTTGCTTGGCTTTCAAAAACACTGGTATTTGCGGTGTTTTGTGCATCTTGGGTCCAAAAAGTATTGGTATTTACAGCATTTTCTGCGTTTTTGCATGGCTCCCGCAAAAGATGTTAAAACGCAAAAATGTTGTAATTTACAGCATTTTGTGGCTTTCGAAAAGCGAAAAATCGTCCGAAAAATGTGTCAAAACGGCGCTTTTTTCCGATTTTAGGTACCCTCAAAACGGGGGGGGGGGAATGCTCTTGGAGACGCTTATGAGCGACCCGGATCCCGGCCAAAAACCTCTCCCCCACCCTCCTGAAGGATTTTTGGTGGTTTTCGGGGCCCGGCGTCGGAGGGTCGGCGGCTGGGGGCGCGCCTCACCTTAGAGCTCTAGTCGCTCTGGGACGCTCGTGACGCATTTGTCAGCGTACTCGTGGGGAGCCGGCCGAATTAAGGGGCTCCGCCCCCTGCCGCCGACCCCTGGGCTTGCATTGCACCTCCGCATGGCTCCCACCATCGGAGTTTCCGCTCTGGGCGCAGGCGCCACAGGGGCTGATTCGGAGCAACGCAATTGGGAGAAAAAGAATATCCTACCTATAGGGAATGAAATGTTACAATGGATGTGATATGCAGCAATGTGATCACTTGATTAACCACATGATAATAACGAACTGCGATGTGGCTTGGATTCCATATCGTAGGGATCCTTCATGATGTGGACGCTCTAGGAGTTAGCAGTTGTCATTGATGTGCATTGTAGACAATGTGAGGCCAAGATTTAAGAAATTTGAGTTTAGTAATGGGAGGTACCCAGTGCAAGAGGAATCTATAGATCAGATTTTTTGGGGGGGACACCCCTTCAGTAATGAAGGAAGTGTACTCAGGAATCCCACAATGATTGCTTCTTGATACTTTTCACGTACCGTGAAACGATGAATATCGAGGTGCGGCGCTTTTCATCAGCGGGACCCTTGTCTCGGCGCTGCGAGCACGCCCCAGATTGGCGACCCTTGGCGTCGATGTAAACGCTGAACTGTGGCGTGGTATATATCTTATGTGAAGAGAAGTGTACCAGATGGGAAGAATTGGGCCATGTCCTGGGATGGGAGTTTTTGAAATCTGAAAGCATGGGATATCCACTGGATTGTTCAAGTTTCTCGGTTAGATTGTTATGGCAGATATTTCGGGTGTGTCATGGCACTCTGGTGTTCGCACAAAAGTCAGTGCGCGCGGAGGACAGCCAGAAGAAAAAGACATATAGTGAGCCAGTTGAGTTTCGGATTCCTGGCATGTCGCAAGGGATTGAAACTGATGGGATGTGATTGGGTGGTTTGGAGGTGAGATTTGGGTCTTAGATCGAATGATTTTGTCTGCGAGGGGGTTACTTTCTGAACTGACTAGAAACTAGCTCCAAACCTTGACTTTACCTGCGTTTCGGCACAGAAACTCTGCCGGACGCACATGCCGCCGGGAAAAAGCTGGAACGTGACGGCAACGCTGGACTAATAACACTGCTAGTTTCCAACTTGCTTGCGTCCTTGTGCCGCTCGCTTTCGTCTTGTCCAGCCAGCCGTCTAGACAGTGCCAAGCGTCACTGTCTGAACCTGCAAGCTTGACCTGCCTTTCTGCACTGCATGCCAACTGCCAACTTGCTCATGTCCTCCTGGAGCTGGCTATCGTTCTGCCCAGCTTCCAAGACGTCAATTTCTGAACCAACTAGAAACTATAGCTCCAAACCTTGACTTTGCCCACGTTTCTGCACTGCCAACTGCCACCCTGCTCGTGTCCTGCTGGAGCTGGCTTTCGTTCTGCACAGCTCCGGTCCAGGCCGGGGTCCAAGGACCCTGTCGCAGGGCTAAAACACCATGGCAGTGAAGGACGGATTGGGCCCGCGGCCCGTAGCCCAGACTGCCAAACGTTACTTTCTGAACTGAATAGAAACTAGCTCCAAACCTTGACTTTACCTGCGTTTCTGCACTGCCAACTGCCACCCTGCTCGTGTCCTCCTGGAGCTGGCTTTCGTTCTGCACAGCTCCGGTCCAGGCCGGGGTCCAAGGACCCTGTCGCAGGGCTAAAACACCATGGCAGTGAAGGACGGATTGGGCCCGCGGCCGGTAGCCCAGACTGCCAAACGTTATTTTCTGAACCGACTAGAAACTAGCTCCAAACCTTGACTCTACCTGCGTTCTGCACTGAGTTCCAAACCTTGACTTTCGTGCACAGCTCCGGTCCACGCTGGGGTCCAAGGACCCTGTCGCAGGGCTAAACACCATGGCAGTGAAGCAGGGATTGAACCCGCGGCCCGTAGCCCAGACTGCCAAACGTTACTTTCTGAACCGACTTGAAACTATAGCTTCAAACCTTGACTTTGTTTGCCTACGTTTCTGCACTGCCAACTGCCACCCTGCTCGTGTCCTCCTGGAGCTGGCTTAAGGACGGATTGGGCCCGCGGCCCGTAGCCCAGACTGCCAAACGTTACTTTCTGAACCGACTAGAAACTAGCTCCAAACCTTGACTTGACTTGCATTCTGCACTGAGTTCCAAACCTTGACTTTCGTGCACAGCTCCGGTCCACGCTGGGGTCCAAGGACCCTGTCGCAGGGCTAAAACCACCATGGCAGTGAAGGACGGATTGAGCCCGCGGCCCGTAGCCCAGACTGCCAAACGTTACTTTCTGAACCGACTTGAAACTAGCTCCAAACCTTGACTTTGCCTACGTTTCTGCACTGCCAACTGCCACCCTGCTCGTGTCCTCCTGGAGCTGGTTTTCGTTCTGCACAGCTCCGGTCCAAGCTACTTGGAGAATCAGCCTGGTTAGTAAGTACTTATGATATTTAGCATACTTAGTAATGTACTTAGTAAGTCCATTAAGTATACTTATATGTAGCCTAAGTCTACATATAAGTTGACTAAGTCATTGGTGACACATAGTCCACTTAGCTAAGTACATAGCACTTAGCCTATCTAGATACTATTTTATGTAAGTAGATATTAAAAAAACCCAGAGAACTTATCCCACTTATGGCTAATTGACTTAGGCTACTTAGCGGACTTATAGCTAAGTCGCCTAAGTAGGTTAACCTACTTAGTTCTAAGTGGGCTAAGTCACTTACGGAGCATGGAGCCTAAGTCACTTAGCCTACTTATAGGAAGATATTTTTTGAGCTAAAACAACATACATAACCTTGTCAGTTGGGGCCTTGCAAGCTTTGTTTGTGAGATGTGAGCCTTGATTTTCAGAGGCATGTGTCGGCCTGCGTGGCTTCGAGCTTTGATTTGTTCGATTATTGTTTTCTTTGTTTGTCATGGAGAAACAACTCAAACCAAATAGTCGTCCACAAATCAACCTTTTGGCATCTTTCTTTTATATCCGGTAAATGCGACATATATAGCGCATTTGCTGTTTTATTTTGAGGTTGCCATGCATGCTCCATGATGCATGAAGAGTTTTTTCCTTGTGAAGAGGGGCATGCATGGCATGCCACGTTTTTTCTCAATGGTTGCCGCAGGTTTGCAAGTGGAATCATTTGATTGTTTCATTCGCCGTTTTTGGTTCAACACTCCTTTGCATATAAGTGCATGACATGTTTTGAAGGTTTGTTGTTTTACGATTTTGGTGCGGGTGCCCAGGCTGTTTTGCTGGCTGACGCTGTTTTGATTCCAGACCTTGTAAGAATCAATTGGAATGAGAAGGCGTGCTGCCCACTTAATTTTCATGAATGCAGACCTTTGCTCTGTAGAGACGTTTTCAATCAAATGGGTTGCATTTTGCATTTTTTTGATTGCTTGAATTTCAATGACCATATTATTCACTGGGAACGGCTTGGGAAATCTGATTCTTTCATGGGTCAGGTCATGTTTGTTTTTTCATCATTGTTCATTCCCGCTGATTTGGCACATACGTAAGGCTTTTTGCATTCATTTTCTGCACTGCCCAGGCCAGCCATGACTATATAGCTTGTGGAGGAGATCTTCACCGAGGTGCACTAGGCGTTTTGTTCGCCACCTTCCACGCCTGATCTATCCTGCAAGATTATTAGAGTTTCACTATATGCACTTGTGATTCGAACTATATTTCAGCTTTGGCCACTTCACTTGGTGCTGGCGTGGCTCTGCTCGCCGTATATCCTTTGCGGGCCGGCTCGAAGGGATCAGCTTCAAACCGCGATGTCTTTGAACATGTTAAAATGATATGTGTATTTTTTGCCAGAAACATTCGTGAAGGCATGCTACATGGAGTATAATTAGAAACACGTTCTTTTGACTTCACTTCGTTCAGCCTTTCTGGATATACGGCCATGGATGCTGCCTTCAAGGCCAAGTTCAAGGAGGTTTTGGACGGTGCAACTCAGAAAGGGCTTTTGAGTTCCATGGAAGTCGCCTACGCGCTGCTCAAGGAGCATGGCTACATGTACCATTTACAGGTGCATTCCAAGCTCATCGGGTGTCACGAAGGCAACCGTGACGGGTTCGGCGTCGACCCTGAGCACGTCCACAGCCTGGTGGATCGCTTCCATGACATGGGCTTTGTGCCTTCTGCCGGAAGATACATGGCTGTTGAGATCCCCATGGGAGCTCAAGGTGACACCACTCGAGAGTTCAATCAAAAGCTGGCAGCTTCATCCAAGGATCTGTTCCTTGCTTGCGATATTGTTTCTATAAAGGGATCGGCCGTAACCATCACAATATATAACATATTTTTTTTT